GCAGATTCAAGGTGAGCGTGATGGCGAAGATGACACCGTCTCACTTGCACACCCACGCGATGGGATATCAAAAAGACGCCATACGCGCGGGAGGTGTGAGAATGACCAAAGGACAAATCATTATCGTCGGTCGAGGGCCCCCTCCTTGTCAGCATGCGGGGTAAGGGCCATTTCTCGTCCGCTGACATTGCGCCTTGTGAATATGGGCATTGATTTCGGTAGCAGTCATCTTGTCACCAGACTTTCCGGATTCAGCGTCACTGGTCGCTGTGAAAGTCTTGCCGAGGGAGAGGAAGTGAAGCTCCGTTGACAAACTCCAAGCATTCTTGACAAGCCACAGTGCTAGATGTGGAAATAATGCATTACGAATAAGGTGATGGTGATGACGATGACGTTTCCTGATAACAGCCTATAATTTTCTATAATTCTCTATTATTTTCCAACAAGTTGTATGGTGAATCCGGCATGGTCAATACTGGAACTGGTATCTTTTGGGACCCTTCATACTTGACGTTCTGCATGGCAATTTGGAGCAGCATCTGCCTTTCCACCCAACCAGTGAACGGCGGGCGTATGAACAACCCTGACACCATATGAGCAAGTTTTTCACAGTTGACTGACTCTGTAGAGAAGACCGGCAGAATCCACGATTTGCTAAGACACTGATTCATATCACCGGAAAGGCACGTGCCAAAGGACTGCCCGATGGTGGATCCATGGCGATCAGATGGCGATCAGCAGGACTGGCTATGAGCCAAAAGTAGCAGAAGCGCAGCGCAGCGCTAGCACATCAAAGCCTTTAGGTGCGTGTGGAAGACGTTGCATCGCCATCGCCGTCGTTCCGTTGTTCACAGACCTTGATGTCAGGGTGAAGATGAAAAAAGGACGAGCGCTGAAGTGGCACGAATCAGGGGACCCATTTCCCCGCATTTTTGACCAGCCGGATGCAGGGACGTTGGCGCCGACCGGAAAGGTGGCGGTGGCTGTTGGCCTGATTATTATTGTTTATGGATATCAATGTTCTTGTACGATTCAATGCTGGGTACCAAGTATCAAAGCTGCTATTGTACGGAGTACTATGCCAGGTGAACTCGGAGCGTTGGAGGCAAAGCTCCGTGGTTGGAGACGGAGTAACGAAGCACGGAGAAACGCGTGACTGTCTCATGCCAGGCACCAGGTGACTGCCAGTCCTGGGTTGCTCAGGCTTGGCTGGTTGGCTGGTTGGCTGGCCAGCCGGGCGCTGGTCACTGATTGGGTACTCGGTCATCCGAGACAGTGCCGGTTCCATGTCGCCGCAGAACATTGATCAGAGGGACTCTGAGGAATACCAGGCGGCAGACCGAGTCTGAGGGGTCCAGGGCAGCACTTGAGCGTTCAACAAGTAGACGGGCGACTGGCAACTATCCGAGGTCGGGTGCTGGCCAAGGCATCCACCTGCCTGACGTCGTCGTCTAGCACCAGACCGGACGGAGCATTATCAGCGTACGGAGTACATATGTATGTACACAGTACAGGCGGAGGGCCCCGTCCTACCAAGCCCAATAAGCATCCAGGTCACGTGTGTGGCCTGAGGCTGCAGGCACCCTCCCAAGTGTGACGCTTGGTGCCTCTTATTGTTCCGGGCTTGCCTGCCCGTCCGTAGCAAATACACTTTGAAGGCGTCATGTAGGTTCAGGCACGATGAAGCAAATGGCAAAAGTTGAGGACCAGATATAGCTCGGGCCGTGCATCGCGTCCACAATGGGAATGCACGCAAGAGAGGCGTCCGTTCTCGCCATATCCGACCAGCCTGTCGCTATCGCTCGTATCGCCGCGGGAACCACTTGCTCCAGTGCCTCCTCCGAAACCGCGGGTGTGGTGTGTACCTGCTGCGCCTGGCCTGCGTATGCTGTGTACTTCATGTATGTGCAGTTGTACCTGTGTACATGCTGCTATCTGGCCCTGCATCTTGCTGGCGCAATGACTGCGCCAGTGGCTGTCCCAATGGCGTCAAGATTTGCCAGCTCAGGCTCCACCGCAGAGGCCGCGTGCCCCGGCGCTGAGGTTGCCATCCCCGCGCTAGTCCCCCTTGAGCCAATTTGCCCACGCCCTCGCCTTCTTCCCCCCAGGTCCAGTAATGGATGCCGTCACTTTGATACCAGACCCTGATGTGCTCCGGTTCACTTGCTGTCTGGTCAGTGGTGGTCACTGTGACCTGAGTCAATGCCAACGTCAGTGTCGCCTCGCTTGCCGAGCTTACCTTATCTACTGTACCTCCCCAAACCGTGCTTCGTCTTCCTCCGACTCTCTCTCCCTCTTCTTCTTTCGTTTCTTTTCCATCTTCCATCTTCATCTACCATCCGACCCCAACTGCCTGACTCCTCTCTGCGGCTTGGGACCGAATTTGATTCTGTTGCATTTCACGCAGTCTTTGCACCTCGTTTTGCGTTCGCGTCGCAGGTAGACCAACGCTCGGCGTTTGCGCAGCTTGCCCGATTCTCGCTCCTACCAAGACAATCAGCATCACTTCACCAGCTTCCTCAGCACCACCATACTCATCATGCACACTCTCGTTGCCGCGGTCGCACTCTCCGTGGTGGGTGTCGCTCAGGCGGGATTCAGCACTGAGACCATCCACAGGGAATCAGCTCCGATTCTCACCCATGTCGACGCTGAAGTCGTTCCTGACTCCTACATCATCAAGTTCAAGGACCACGTCAACGAAGCCGCGGTCAACGACCACCATAGCTGGATTCAAAGCATCCACAAGGATGGCGAGGAGCAGCGTTTGGAACTTCGCAAGCGAAGTCTGGGATCCTCACCAGTGGAGGCTTTCGCCGGCTTGAAGCACACGTACAACATTGCCAACGGCTTCAAGGGCTATTCCGGTCACTTCCATGAGTCCGTCATCGAGAAGGTCCGAAATCATGGCGACGTAAGTCTGGCATCCATTTCCATGAGCAGAGACTCCATGATGCACATGACGTCTTCTCGGCCATCCAATCATTGCTGATCTAACCCTGCTGAATAGGTCGAGTTCATTGAGAAGGATACCATTGCCCGCATTCTGCGCCCTGTCACCCCCGACGAGTCTGTGCAGGAGGACTGCACTCCCGAGACCGAGAAGCAGGCCCCGTGGGGCCTTGCTCGTGTCTCCCATCGCAAGGGTCTTTCCTTTGGCACCTACAACAAGTACTTGTATGCTGCCGACGGCGGCGAGGGCGTTGATGCTTACGTTATTGATACTGGTACCAACACCGGTCATGTGGACTTTGAGGGTCGTGCCAAATGGGGTAAGACCATTCCCGCTGGAGATGCCGATGAGGATGGCAACGGCCATGGTACTCACTGCTCTGGAACCATTGCCGGCAAGAAGTACGGTGTTGCCAAGAAGGCAAACGTCTATGCCGTCAAGGTTCTCCGCTCCAATGGCTCTGGCACCATGGCCGATGTCGTCAAGGGTGTTGAGTTCGCTGCCACCAGCCATGTTGAACAGGTCTTGCGTGCCAAAGACGGTAAGCGAAAGGGATTCAAGGGTTCCGTCGCCAACATGTCCCTCGGTGGTGGTAAGACACAGGCTCTAGACGCTGCAGTGAACGCTGCCGTCAAGGCTGGTATTCACTTTGCCGTCGCTGCCGGTAACGATAACGCCGATGCCTGTAACTATTCCCCTGCTGCCGCAGAGCTTCCCGTCACTGTCGGTGCCTCTGCTTTCGATGACAGCCGTGCCTACTTCTCCAACTATGGCAAGTGCACTGACATCTTTGCCCCTGGTCTCAACATCCTGTCCACCTGGATTGGCTCCCCGACTGCTGTCAACACCATCTCGGGCACCTCCATGGCCTCTCCCCACATCTGCGGCCTCCTCGCCTACTATCTCTCTCTCCAGCCGGCTGGTGACTCTGAATTCTCTGTCGCCTCAATCACCCCTAAGCAGCTCAAGGATACTCTCATTGAGATCTCCACTCAGGGTGTCCTGACTGACATTCCCAATGACACCCCCAACAAGCTGGCCTGGAATGGTGGCGGTTGCAGCAACTACTCCAAGATTGTTGCTGCCGGTGGCTATATTGGCAAGCCCAAGACTTCCAAGCCGAAGCCGGTTGGGAACGCTGTCCAGGAAGAGATGAAGGTTCTTTCCAACAAGGTCTCACAGGGCGTCAAGGACTTGGGCGACAAAACGGAGAAATTTGTCGAAAAGATCCACGACGTCGTTGATAAGGAGATTGAGCACTTCATCTCCGAGATCTCCATGTAAGAGCTAGACTTCCACTTTGACTGGGTTTTATTATTATTATTGGCAGGGATTACACATGATATGCAGCATAGGGATCGGGTTTGTCCTTATTTTGGGTAACGCGATGTGTATTGAGGCGTAGAGTGTTGGATGATATTATTTCATTGTGTCTGTGTTTTATGTTTCCAATCTGCTATACAATCGTCAGAAGGCAGGACTTTGTATGTAAACAATCGCTCACCTTGGCATCAATATATTTCCTTCCCGCATACGCAAAGTCTGGTTTCTTAGTGATTGGTGATTCATGAATGCACCTGGTTCTGATGACTACATAATCTGAGGCTTGGCCCAAGAGGGGTGAATCAACGTCCCGTGTGGTCAGCCGGGATCGCTCGGTAAAGAAAAGTTGTCTGTCTTGTGGAAGGAGTCGTGCCTGATTCACCTGATGGCCGCTTCTTTTTATCTCGAATGCCTGCATTTGTCGTTTGGGCAAGTCGCCCTAGTTGCTTCCGTGCCTCCTTCACAGTGATACTTCATAGTTTCCTCGCCGGTTCAAAGAACACACAAGTGCTGCCAAGCAACCAGTATCCCGGTCTTGGCTTGTCTCCGTATCAACACGAATCAACAGCTTCACTTGACTTATGATGCTTCGATACCTTTTCAAGTCTACATTACGGTTACCCGCTAGATTTTTTTCTCCCCGGACTCCGCACAATATCATTCCCGGTGGACTACTATACATTGAACACATTATTTGAACGCTGACTTCCTGCCAGAGTTGAAGATGTTGCGACGCAAAAGCTCCCGAAGCACTCACCGGCATCCCCTTGGCAGAAGCAAATCCACCAGCTCTATTGCCAGAAGAAGAGCTGATTTTGTAGTTAATATCGATGCAGCATCTGCAGAACGAGATGCCCATATTGCAGCCAATTTGTCTTACTATCGCGCTCATGGCTATCACAGACAGGATACACCGGGGGAATGGCCAAGCCAAGGTTCACATGATCTTCTTCTTCGACGGAGCAATACCGTCAACGGTCGACTAGAAGGTCCGCCAAACGGTATTCCGAAGAGGAAACAGAGTGTAAGGTTCACGGGCCCTAATGCCAGGCCCCGGCGACAACTGGCTGCTCGAGCAAAGCCAGTGGTGCGTTCCAATCCATCAAAAGGGCCAACTTGTACTACAGGAAGGCGAGATAATGGCCGTCTTTCGCCTGCGAGATCAAACTATACGCAATCCACAGAAACGAACTATAAGCCTCGGAGCAGCAACTCTTCTGTCATCCACACAAGTGGTTATTTCCTCACGGAGCCTGCCAATATCACTCCTATGCCGCCGTTTGTGGGATCGCTTCGGAAATCCAAGTCCATGTATAGCCAGTCCATGGGTTCAGTGTCAGGATATGACAACGATGACATTCGGGCTGACGGCCTAAAGCCACTGCCAACAACACCTTCAACCATACAGTTCCAGGACAGGCAGAATCAGACAAAGCGGTACTCCATCAGGCGAAGTCTGCGCGCACCAAAGTCCATGAGCTATCTTGAATTCCAGACTATAAAGCCATTGGTAGAAGGAGCTGAGAATAAACATAACGGATACTCTTTGCCAGAAAAGGTGATGCACTCGAAGGGGTCTTTTCGTCATCTCAAGTCTCATTCCTCAATGTTCTTTCGGTCCAAGCATCGACAGCAAGAGAGCTCGACAGGATTATCCAGGTCACTGCGCAACAGCAGTGACAACAGCGCCGCGCTTTCCCCAGCCTTCTTGGGAAATGGCATTCCTCCTGCGAAGCATACTGGGATACGGTTCACGGCTAGGCGAGTGTCGAAAACGGTTCGAAATAAACTGAGCAGACTGTTCGGTCGGTCAAAGAGTACGGACACTAGCGGAAACGACATTGCAGTCGATGCATCCCAAGACACTGATAGCGACAGCTTCCACCACCGAACTGACACACCGCCGATTGAAGAAGCTTCCATGTCAAGAGTGACTTCTCATGTCCCTTCGCTTCATGCGGTGCCGTCGTACCAGCAGATGCGGTCACGTCAGGGAAGCTTGGAGAGCATCTCGCATGAGGAGAACATGCCTGCTGATGACAAGTCCCGTGTGACTAGTTGGACAAACTCGTCAGCAAATACTGTTATTAGCTTCGGCGTAAATGAGGAGCACGAGTACCAGCGTCTGTCTGTCATCAAGGAAAATGGCATGCATATCCCATCCACTTCTCGCATTCCATCGGCGAATCCTACTATTCCAGGAATGACAATAAATAGCCAGCGAGTGTATTCAGCGCTCATGAAGAAGCTTACAAACACTCCCAGTAATCCAGACGAGGTGCAGAACCACGAATCGTCAAAACAGTCGTCGGCCGAGTCGGTGCCTCTCGGACATGGCTCTGATCAAGGAGACGCACAGCCATGGTCTCCGCCGATTATTCGATGTATCGGGACAAGCGATGATGACGTATTCGAGGATACTAAAGAAGTCATTTCCTCCATGTCGAGGAAGCCGGCGTACAAGGCTTATCCGAATGCATCTGCGGGTGATGGCAAGGGGCTTTCACCAGCCAAGATCCCTCTACCAGAGTCGGCGACGAAACAGTCGTCCATCCGTGCCGACAGAAACTCGACGTTTTCTCCAAGTTCAGACAATCACCTTTTCCGCACGACGAGTCCTTACCGTCGGGCCATTCAACGCAGTATGAGAGATTACCAAGAATCAGACCACACTCACGCTTTGGATACCAGGTATTTGAGTACGCTGTCTGCATTAAGTCTACCTAGTCGACGCCCAAGCACTGTGGGATCAGAGACGGATGCGCGCCTAACCTATGCCGAGAGCTTTTATTCCTTTACGACCGAGGAATTAACAACCGTCCGACCAGATGGACTTGCATCGCCTCCTCTTCCCGACGTTCTCAACGCTGTGGCGGGGGATGTAGCCGTGCCAGTAGAGTCTTCTGCCAACATGGAAACACCAGTACGCGGCCATGATGCTTCGGCAGTAAGTTCAGTAGAATGGAAGGCCGGGCTCAGCGCCAACATCTCCAAGCTGGAAAAGCCGCATACCGCTCACCCCCAATGTGCGGAGAAGCCAAGTGGTGCCGTGCTGCATGCTGGGCACGTAAGAGAGAGTGCCGAGATCGAATCACCAGGTGAAACCCCCAAGACAGCGGTGACAGGTACAGGAGAGGAGTTTCCCGGCCGCGTTGTCAGCTTACATGGCCTTGGAACCCGTCCATCGCCACCGACTCAGACTGGAAGTCCTCTCAAGTCTACAGAGGGAACGGCCGGACCGAACAAGAGGGACAGGTTACATTCTGCGTCGCCAAGCGTTCCATCCAGCCCGCTCCGACATACCCCTTGCTCAACTACCTCCTTGACTAAAGTAGACAATGGTACTACTCCAAATTTAAACGACTGTCGGCCGGGCCTGTTGAGAATGAGGTCTCTGAACACGGTCCCTACGACGGCACCGCAACCCCATGATGGGCTACCCTGGAAGCAATGTGATCAGGAAAACTCTAGAACTGGACCACCAATCATGTCCAAGACTACGCCAGGGCTTTCCGCTATACCTCAGCGAGCAGCTAGTGCTAAAGGGAGTTCACCGGGAAAGTTGGGCACTGGTGCCTCGACATCCCCACGCACACCGGAAGGGTCGATGCCCGTATCGAATAGCCTGTCGGAAACAACCAAGTCGGAGTGGGACGCCCAGATCAGAGGAAGCAGGCGAATGGTTGATTTGTTTTTGAGCAGTCGTCGAAAGGCGATTCATGGGACCATGTCGAGGAATGGGAGTGAAAACTTTTCGACGGCATTTCTGTGAGGGTCTGTTGTTTGTTTGTATATATATTACTTGTCGGCCAGGATAGCTATCAAGGTGAATGGAGCAGTAGATGTTTGACCCGTGATTTTGAACTGTGTCGAAGAGTACGGTGAGGCGTATGTGAAGGAACAAGGTCTCAGGCCTGTCCGTCTGGGCCCTTTAAGTCGTTTGACGAGGCCGGACTGACATGGATTTCCCATAAGCGGGCCATGTCCTTGGGAAAGGACGCTTTTCTCTCATCGCTCACCCACTTGTTGTATTCGGTGTGCGTAACCTTTTCCTGCAGAATGCCGTCCACTTTGGCGGTCCGCAGAGACTGGATAAAGTCGTGCGAAACGCGGACGTACTCGCCCAAGGCCTCCCTCACATTGAGCGTCGCGCCCGTCGTCCAGCTCAGCAGGAGGGGCTCTATGAGGGGGGCATCCGACACGCTGGGGTGGCTTGTGCCGAGGCTCGTCAGGAACCAGGCTGCGCGGCCGGACCTCTCGAGGACGCCGGCGACCAGGTCGCGGACGGTGTCGAAGTGCGGCCTGCCGAAGAAGAGGGTGCGCTGGCGGGACCACGAGTCGGAGTGGACGACGAGGAGGGACACGTTGAGCGCGGCGTTGAGGGGCCCGCTCTCCTTGCCTGGGTCGAGGGCGATGCCGGCCACGGACGGGTTGGGCCCTTTGTCGTTGGAGGAGGAGGAGGAGGGCGCGTGCCGGAGCGCCTGGAGGGCGGCTGTGGCGCCGTACGAGTGGCCTGCTGTGACGAGGGTGTCTAGGTCGAGGCGCGAGGCGAAGGAGCCTAGGGACTTTGGGGATCCGCGGGTGCTTGGGACGGAGGCGTTGGCGTCGAGGAACCGCAGGAGGCGGATGGTTTCGAAGATTTCGGCGTCGCGGAAGGCGAGCTGGTGCCGTTTCATGGAGGGCGTGTCGACGGGGGTGCGGTTGGTGGGCGAGGTGAAGAGGTCGGAGGCGCGGAAGTGAGGGCGTTGAAGGGGTGGCTGGTCGGGGAGGTGGATGAGGGTGCCGGGGCAGGAGCCGTCGCGGTGCTCGAGGGCGGCGACGACGGCGCCGTGCGACGCGAGGGAGCCGAGGTAGTGGGTGTAGTCGGTGCGGGAGGAGGCCATGCCGTGGGAGAAGACGACGACGGGGAGCTTGGCGCCGCCGCTGCTGGCGAGGAGGGGGACGTCGGTGGCGGCGGGGATGGTGACGGACCCGGCGGCGAGCCAGAGGAGGAACGTGAAGAGCGGGCGGGTGAGGAAGTTGTCGGCGCGGGCGAAGCGTGCGTATCCCTGGGCCGTGAGGCTGATGGGCCGCGGGATCCAGGGGAGCGGCGGGGAGGAGGACGAGGCGGAGGGGGAGGCCGGGTAGTAGAGTGTCAGGAGGACGGTTTCGAGCTTGAACGCCGGCGTGTGGGAGTGCTTGAAGACGGGGTCGGCGATGAGGCGGGCCTGCGGGAGCGGCACTTCCATGTCGATGGCGCCGACGGCGTGAGGGCCCGTGTAGGCCGGGAGGCGGGAGGCGAAGGGCGGGATGGAGAGGGCCAGGCACGCGATTGTGTAGGCGAGGAGCGTGCAGAGGACGCCGGATGTCCAGGAGAGCCGCCGCGGGAGGGGGGCGAGGCGTCTGGTGCGCAGGAGGATGGCTCTGGACGCTGTGCGCGTGCCGTCGAGGAGGTGTTGGAGTCGGGTTCGCGATGGGAGCGCCCAGCGCGGCGGGGGCGCCGTCGACGTGGGCGTCAGCAGCGGCGAGTCGGGCGAGATGGAGGACGTGGGTGAGAGGGAGGTGAGTTCGAGGGTGGGCGAGGGCGGTGGTTGTGAGTCCCGTGGCATCTTGGCGGCTGGGGGGGCGAGGGCTTGAGAATGGTGGTGACGATGTGTGTGAGAATGAGTAAATGAGTGAGTGAGTGAGTTCTTAGCTTGGTGGTGACGTCGTGAACTGAGGTGTCAAGGTGGGTCTGGCGGACCGGGTGGGGCCGGATGCCGCGGACGTAGACGCTCGTGGTTCAAGTCAAGGTGTAGATTAATTAGAGCATCGATTGCGGCGAATTGAGGCTGTTCGGAAGCTTGGAGTGACCCTTCTTGGCCTCGGTTCTTTGTAATTCATTATGACCATTTGTGACTACGAATGGACGGAGCACATTGGTTTTGGGTATTCTGCGTCTCACTTCACTACTCTGTAAGTTGCTCTCAATGGCATATAATGGGCATCATTACTTGGCAACAAGAGCATGTTCTTTTGCGACAGATTTCCAGCGTGCTACCTAGGTAGTTAGTCGTAGCCCCTTGGGAAACGAGGAATCATGCTTATGAGTTAGAAAATACCGCTCACGTTCGTTGTTAAATCACATGTATTCAATGAGGAATTTATCTGTATTCAAATAACGGCTTCAATAGGGCCATGGCGCGAGCCTTTGTGAGCACAGGCTTTTGAGGTCTTTTGGTGGCTCTAGTCGGCGATGGCAAATAATAGTAGCCCCTTTCCGTTCACAGCGCGGCTCGTTCGTGAGACAAGAGTTTCCGTGGTATATGTGGCCCAAACTGAAGTATTCAAAATTGAAGCAATATTTGCTGATGCGGGCCATTACAGGCCAGCATCCAGTATCCTACTTTCAAATTTTCCCCTTGATTCATGTTGTTGGCGACCTACTTTGGATGGACTTTCGTGGGAATGCTGCGAGCTGCCCAGACAACGGTTTCCAACCCATTAGAATCGGCAGGCCTTGCGGGAACCGTGGATGGCTTGTGCAAAATTCATGGAGCAACCATCCATAGAAAGCCAGACCTTTGTTCCAAAAGCGTCCCAGATCGGCGGGGTCCGGCGTACCTGCAGTGCTGAGAAGATTGGTCCCAGGCGATTCAGATATTTCGAAATTGTTCTATTATATGCAAAGGCGGGAAAGAGCTGGTGAGCCTGCTGAAAAGTACACGCCTTATGTTGTAATGCAAATGTAGTAATAATTTTTTTTTCTTTTGGGAAAGAATTATTGATTCGCAAAAGCCATAAAAAGTAAGAGTGTGTGTAGGAGCATAATGTTGTGAGGCCCATTATGCAAACCAGCCATTTACATCATCAGCCGCAACTGAGAACTATACTATAATGCGTTTCGGTAGTTTTTCAAAGCCCTACTCAATCCGGGCACCGACCTTGCTTGACAGCATAGAATTGATCCAAGGCCCTGGCGAATTTGATGCCAAAAAGTGAACTGAAAGCCCCATCGCCATTCCTACGTGGAATATCTGATGCGAATGGCCCCAGATGTCAAAGCACCCCGGTTTCCACGACTCGGTCAATCGCAGCCGTTTCACAGCATGGCATCTCAGCAAGGCTTAACTTTCCAATTCGATGCACTTGAGGCCTAGCAAGGGAGCAAGAGAATACACGTACCGCGTACATGGTCACCGAGCATAAATATATGAGACTAGTCAAGGCGTAAAGTGAAGCGCTGTACTCGGCGTCAGCACACGACCAGCCGACTTGAAAGATCTTGATGATGAGGTGGTATAATGCCGAAGACGCCATGACGGAGAAGACAAGTCCACGGAGCGGTCGCACTTTAGGGGCTTGGAAGGACTTGACAAAAAGTGCGAGCATGGCGGCGAGGAATTGGGCGGCAAGATCGACCTGAGACGGACCAATTAGCGACCTAGGTTTGTGACGGGGACGACTACTCACGGCAATCCAGGTAAACTTTACTCGACGTGAAGCGCACAGAAACGTGTACCAGAGGCCCGGCGGGAAGCATCCAGCAGTGACGGTGAGGATGCCTAGAAAATCTAGCTTGAGACAAAAGAGATGCGTGGCATGTGAATAATTGGAAAGAACATGGTACGCTGTTGAGAGGAGATAGCAGACTATACCACCAAGGAAGAAGAGAAAAAAGACGATGCAGTCATCAAAGTTGATGTCTGGATACCGCTCCTTTACGTCCACGCTCCACCACGACCCCAGCACCACCATTCGGATGGCTGCAACGAGACGGGTGTATGTTGCAAGATTCGTTGTGGACGTATCGTATCCCATGCTAATCATGCATTCCCAGTACGAATTCGTCTCGGGCCTCCAGCCGGAACGAATGTACTCGTTGTCCTTTGCCCATTCTGGCAGCTCGTCGAAGAGTAGTAGTAGTCGGATCTTGGCTTTTCGCAGCAGGGTGGCATTCTCTCTGAAATGTCGGGATTAGCCTTCCCAGCGCTGTCTATTTGCACAGCTTGTAGCCATGGTCTTTGCCTCATTTTAGATTCCATCATGGCCAGCAAGACGACTCCTAGGTCAGGTAACTGGCATGTAGGGACGGGACTGGTTCAAGCGACTGACTTGTCCTTGGGCAACAGATTTGCCGGAAAGCAGGGGCGGGAAGGTCAGTTAAAGAAAAATGGCTTCTTTGTTTCGAGTCGCTCACGGCGTGAGCGACAGCCAAGCAGAAGGGGAGCGGAGTTTTCGACGTCTTTTCTTTGTCTTCAAGGCCACGGGTGGCCTCGACCACTTCCACCTCATGCCATTTGAAGCTGGCGCCGCTCCAGCTGCCAAAGATGGCATGTTGAGCACCTGGACGAGCGGCTCCGAGTTGGCCTGCGGATAATAAATACACAACGCATGAGAAGTGGTAGCAGAGGTTTTGACGGAAGGGTTACCTCCACCGGGCATAACCGTGTGGGCTGAGTGGTCAACCGCAAGTGCCGATGCCATATTTCGATTTGGCTATCCTAGCTAGGGCCGGGCCGTGCGGGGTTCTCTATCCCTGTAGAGAGATAATCCCAGTTGTTCTGGCGCTTATAGCCTGACGGTTTGGCCATCAAGTAGTACGTGAGGTAGAAGCTGTTACTATCCTCGCTGTTGCATGAATGGGTCAAGTATCTCTGTTCCCACATCGGCTTAGCGATGGCTTTCCATTGGTTCGGAGCCTAAATACCAAATGTGCGTAGAGCCGGCCATGCACCAGGTCAACCAAAAGCTGCTTACGTTGGACGGGTAATAATGTTGAAAGGTTGTTGGGGGTGGTGGTGGTAACGTGGACTTCAATGTTGTCTTGTAACGAAAACCTTCTCTAGGATTTTAAATGTTAGTTTAGTCTAGTAGGGCGCGATACTTGGCACTTTAAACACGAATCATCACCGCGCACGTTACTGGGGGGCAAACGCATAGTTCCAAAATAAGAACCAACCTGGTTTCTTTCGGCATCAAGGTGAATCTATGTCAGACTATCACCTGTGAGGAACGCGTAGATCAACAAGAGTCCTTTCCATGTCAGCCGATTCAACATTGAAAAGTCCTCTCGATTCCGCCCAAACTGTCATTTTCTTGTTGCAAGTTATCCGCCCAACAATGTTACCTTCATCCTCGACCGGCCAGAACTTCATCCTCCTCGCTCAGATTCCGAAGGACGTTCACTGCTCCAGGCGTCTTATACCATGACGCATAGCTGTATTTGACTACCACTGTAGCCTCGTCCTTCGACTGCGGCGAGTATGAGGCTGGTCTGCGCAAAACGCCACAATCAGGATCCTCAACCAGCAGGTCCCAAAAGTGCCAGTTGTATGACCCGACGGCGTCGTATAGTTGTTTGATTTGTTTTTTGATTTTAGCAGCCAGTCGTGCTGTCTCCTGCGGCTCGGCTAGCAAAATCTCGGCCCGTGACGAAATAATAGGGCTGACGAGCTTGCCCACCTATAATCTTGATGGTTTCTTCCGGATTATCGCCGCGGTCCGCAATCCTGGCATTCTGGATCACCTGCAGGTCGAGCATAATTCGCACCTTGATGAGCACCACGGCCACGACATGGTTCAGATCGAGAACGCGGCCTTTCCAGCTCTTTACCGGCGCTTCCAACACGTCCGCGTCCTTGGTGTCCAGGAACGGTTCTTCCATGTCACCCCAGTTGTAGTCCATCTTCTGCCCGGTAGTCGCGTACCACTTCATGAAGTCGTAGGCGTCCTGGTCTTTCCCAAGTCGAATATATAGCGCGGGTATCAGTTCGCGCAGGCCCAGGTTATCCGAGCGACACAGCCTCATCATGTCGAGGAGATGATCCAGGGACATCTGCACCACGTCCACGGGGCCGCCGGCGGTACCGTAGCTTATCAGCATCGCGTCCACCAATGCATAGCGCGCACGTATGTATGGGCGCGTCTCCAAGATGCCCCAAAAGTGGCCGACATGGTCCTCGAACACGTTTTCAGGGAGGAAGGGTCCGCTTGGCATCTCGCGCAGCTTCTTCTCCTCCGACTCGTAGCGGAGACGGTTCTTTTTGATGAGGGTGCACGGCGTCTTGTGGAAATCACGGTCCTTGACCTGGCATTCTCGCCCGCAGTAGAAAACCGCCAGGCAGGCCGAGCAGCGGGCGACGCCCTCTTTCTTGTGGCACAGCTCGCAGGACCGTGGTGCCAGGCCATTGAGCTTGCCTACGTCGGCATTCATGATGAGAGGCATTTTGCCGCGCTGCGGATATAAGAAGTGTCCGCTGAAAGGGGGCTCTGGATGGGAAACAAGTTGTCGTCTTGAGGTGCTCGAGAAGAGGAGAAGAGACAGGAGACAAGAGGCAGGAGGCAGGTGCCGGGTTAATTAATATACGCGATGAAAAAAAGGGGCACTGGGGTCTTGTCGCGCGTTTTGGTGCCTGCCTCGGCCTCACGGACTAGGATATTGTCGAATGTGAAGCACTACGAGCCAAGCACTACAACGCCGCATCATTTTCTTGCTCACGTCCAAGCTTTACAGTTGATACAGAAATATGTGACAGGCTTACCTTTGATTACAGAGTTAGAGCGAGTGCGAGGTCTAGTCTGGTTATGCTATTATTCAGGGCCGCTACATTACAATCTCTAAATTTCCAGACTTGATTATTGTCTAGATACTCCTTATCTCTCTCATTGTCACCAGTATATCTAGACAGCAACATGGAATGGCTGATGTTATACCCAGAAAGCTTATCCTCATGAAAAGGAATCCCACGTGAGCTCGCTTGATCCACGCCCAAGCAGCGGCGTACTTGTTATAATATCGACAAATATTCACAACGCTTTTTGCCCCCAGTCCCACTACCTGACGGGGAACCTTGTACGAAGGGGCCGTGAGTGTTCGGTCGGCACCGTTCGTCGCATCATACTGGTGCCTGGGATCGGGCGGAAGTGTTGCTGCGGGTTGGCAGGCTGCGTCCAGTGCGGGCGACAGAAGCCGTTACAGACGTGCTGGGCGAAAAACGAGCTGATGCCCCTGGGGCCAAGATCTGTCACGCCGTATTGACGATCCCGAGACAGGATAACGGGATCAGAGAGGACTATCTCATGCTGGTAGATGCCGCCTTGGAGGTCGCATAGAACATAATAGCCGCCGGACACATGGTAGCTAAAGTGGCTGAGGGCCTGCATGACTTCCCCCCATACCCTAGTCTCATCGGTCCATCCGCTATTGCTGTTGAACTTTTGGTAGTTTTGGATAAATGGCTCGCATAGAACGCTCTGGCCTGCCCACTCGTTGTCATTGTCGTCGTCGAATTGCCACACTGAAGGCACATTGATTTTGACGGTCTTGTTGATGATGCCCAGCTCATTGAACCCGTTGACAAACTCCAGGGCCTTGTCTACAGCCTTGATGTCGAGATGGAAATAATCTTTGGAGAAGACAGCGCCACGCTTGAACCACTTGACAACACATGCCTGTCCTTGACGAGGGCCTGAAGTGTATGTCCCTCTGGCCACCCGGCGAAAAGCACCCTCTGCAAATGGCTGCTCTAGAGCCGAGTTTGGGATGTGAGCTCGGAAGGAGTGGTTGAATCTGCCGGCATCGGAATGCCTTGTGGATGGGTTGTCGGAATAGTGGCCGTGGACGCATTGCTTGCATCGCGATACGCCGGGACCCTTGGCGTACTGGTTGGCCGTGTAGGATGATTGAGGGAGGTTGCGGTCACAAGCGGCACATTCCCGACTCATGGTTGGAGGTGTGAGGTGGAGGAAAACTGAGGTCTGAGAAGATGGGTATGATCTATCATTTGAACCCTGAATGAATTAAGGATTGACAGGTCAACTGGTTGCATCTTGTCAGGGGCCCAAGTCTGGGGAGCGGCCTTCAGGAGCATTTAATTGGATGGCGGGTGTAATTTGTCAGGCACCAAGATGCACACCCCGCACATTGCACAAGCTAGCACTACTAGTGCATTCATGCATGTGAGCCAACGGTGAACCCACAACAAATGCCACGCCGTCGAAGTGGATTTGACTTCAAATGTTCCTGGGTGGTGATTTACCTGCGCGACCCCAGCGGCCCCAGGACGTCGGTGCCTGGCGGATTCACGTATAGTGTGAATCAAGCTTTGAGAAACCTCATGCTAATGCTCAAATGGATTTCTTGTCTCTCACATCATCTCTCACGAATTCAGCGGGAAGTGGTGGTTTCATCTTTCCTCGTCCAGCCAACTTGGTAATCTCGATCAGTTGACAGTTCCACATCCAACACATCCAAGGCATAGCATATTCGTCAATGAGACACAGCCGCGATATAAAACACAGCCTATTTGCGTGTCTGCCCAAGGCGAGAAGGTCAAACTCCTAGGCGTTGAGAATTTAAAAACATCGGAAAGCCCACCATACAATACGGTTCCGCATCATTCTTCCGCTAACCCTTGACAGTTTCCCTTTGACATTGTGATATCGACCAGCCGACCATGGAAAAATAACAACATGAACTCTACTGTGCCGCGGCTATTGCCAATATAGAGGGCTGTAAAAAGCTCCTGCTTCCCCTGACGGATGCGAACGAGACCACCAGACTCCCTTTCCTAGAGAACCGGGTTAGGACCGCCCTCACAGTCAGCCTGGAGGTCCAAAAAGACTACCCCGAGGGATTCGTTTTTTTAATCTGTCACGAATCCGTCTGCATGAAGCAATTGTCAATGCGGAGCAGCTTACAAAGACTTTGCCGTAGCCAAGCTCGGTGATACCTCTGCCGTACGCCGTACAACTCGGTCGAGCCAAGCCATGCGGTAATCTTCAGTGACAGCGATGTCCGCCCTCATATTTGCGACAGCAGCTTCAGTGTGCAAGGAGGCGCCTTCAATAAAGGGGACATTGGCCTCGTTGGCAATAGCCGTTCCAACGGTTGTCCTGCCCGTTGCACAGGGTCCCGCAACTACGACAACCGTTTTTGAAGTAGGTTGATTCGACTTGGCTCGCCATAGGCCTCGCAGAGAGTGTTTGACGAATTTGTCTGCCACTTCTGTTTCGGGGACAGCAGCAGTAAACAGACTCGGGGACAAGGAGCAGGCAACGTTGGTCACAAACGGCCCATCCGGTTGATTGGACTACACCTTGAACGGCCAACCGTCCCTAACCACGCATTCATAGCAATTTAACCCACAAGGTTTTCCAGTACAAGAACGGGGGTATCTTTTCCATTTCCCGGAAATATTTCCAAGCTTTGTCTTCTTGGGGTCGGAAAGATGTCATCAGCTGGCCAATTTGGGTGCTTCGGGTCATATCTTTATCCTGCAACTTGACGGACTCTGCATCGTTGGGAGGGACTTGCGCGCCGTAATGGCTCACAAGATGTACGCCATTCTCAACCAGCAGGTTGCCCAAGTCATCTGGGCATGCAGACCCCCCGTAAATGACAATCTTTACAGCTCCAAGTACTTCGATTTTCCTTGGGGTTTCAGACAAAAGTTTCAGGGCATGAGGTACACTGTAAAATACCTCAAACTGATTTTGCGACAGAATGGCAATTAGGTACGATACTTGGACGAGTGCACAGAAATAGCACCGAATGGCCTCGTCGGTGCTATCAGCGTGATGAGATACTCCAAGTTGGATTGGCCGTGCAGGGCTATGACACTGGGTTTGGTGAATGAACTTGCACGACTGGGTATTATTTTGAAGTCAATACCATTTGCAGCCCTCCAAGCGAAAACGTCTAGCTGTCTGAGCGTATAGTCGGTGTAGTCCACTCCCGATCGTGGGTAGGACACAATATGTTTGTCGGGTATCCACCATCCTCGGTGAAGAATCAGCAGCCTTTGAAGCAGTAGAAGCATTATTAAACGCCTTATTTACATTACGATTTGACGCACGCTGTTCAGGTGTAACCTGCGGCGAACTGGGGATGTAGACAAGTGCAGGCATCGCGAAGATGTTACACAAGAGGACAAGAGGTGTTGCAACCGAGGCACCTTGCCTTGTATTTAACAATATACTACGACCTAATAGTGTCCAGTAGATTTGGCTCCAAAGCTCCTCATCGCTCAATATCATTCTGCTTGGACGACATCCGGCATGGAAACATTTCCGGAGCGGATTTACGGATACGTCTCGGGATGTGGGGACCGGATTTGTGGAGCTCCCGGTAGATGAATCGGATCCCGCCAGCGACAGCCACAAGAGGTCCAGTTGAGAGAAGAGGATAATGATGTGGGCCGTCCGAAGCTAGCATCGGTTGGAAAATCTGGGGTAAATATCCATCCTTCCTGTTCGATATTGGCAACGTTGGGGGACATGCCACACGGCCTGGGAGCTGCAGGTTTCTGTCCTTTTGCAACAAGGCGGCGACTACACACCTTGACCCCTTTCTGACCACCCGCATCACCGTCGCCGCTACTACTACCAATATTACAAACACGGTTACTAGCACGAAATCCCGCGTTACCAGTCGTTATAATGCTCAAACAAGTAGACTACGTTACTATTATTAAGGGGACGCTAGTTGCCTTGATCTTGGTAGTTGCCGCTTGGTTTTCTCAGAGACTGGACGAGTGTATAATTATTCAATATCAACTTCATCATATTAGTACCGAATACAACCTAGAATTGTGGATTTAACTTGAACTAGGAATTTGCCTATAATATGTAATAACCTTTCAGAGAGAAATTCTAGGCTCAGCAAAGAATCATGCCGCAGCCCTATGGGCAGGCGTGTTTCCAGCCGAGTCTTTGGCGTGGAGCTCTGCGCCATGACTGCACGCTGCTTTGCGCAGTTCTGTACCCTCCTTAAGCAGCCACTTCACAATGGCGTGCCGTCTTCTTCTCACGGCATGAAATACGGCAGTCTGTCCCTTGTCGTCGCGTATCTCGACATTGCTACCTTTTTGGACAACTCTTTCACCCTATCCAGGTCTTCGATACGGGCACTGAAGTGGAGGGACTGTAGGTTGAGGGTATCCAGGCGGCTAAACTTGTCACGCTTTAGTAGTAGGTTGATTGTTCGCTCATCGCCACCATGCATAGACCAGTCCTGATGCTCTCCTTCTGATCCCTGGATCGATAGCCTTCGTCTATGGATATCAGGTTTGTGACGTGCTGAATCACGCCATCTGTCTCTTGCATCAACTCGGTCTGTATTCTAAAGTCTGCAGCCTTGAGCTTTTACATGTATGCAGAAGAAAAGACATGTGTTTCGAACTGCTTCTCACGGCCCTCCGTCCACCCAGGGTCGCCGTGTACATTTTGGTAGCTAGGGATTAATATAGCCGGGTCGACGCTGCCAATACCTTTCCATGGCGGACAGCCAGGTGTCCACCGAGGGTCGATGGAGGCATCGATATGTGGCAATGCAAACATCAACCTACAGAGCCATCAACGTTCTGGCTTATTCCAAGTCTGGCAATATGTCTTGGCTAACGTCTCCATTGACACACAGGCCTTTGTCGCCAGACATTGTAGTGAGATGGGTTTCAGAAGTTGGCCTACATTCGGCAGACGCCGCGCTCCCTCTCTGTGCTGAAAGACGTTTCCATGCTCTATGCAGAAATGCCAAACTTGATGTTGGGTCAACTACTTGGCCTTGTAGTTCTTCCATGGCAAGCTCAGGCGAAGCTCTCGATCACACTGTCTTTAGTGAGTCCGGTGTTTTGCCTCGGGTGATTCAGCCCATTATCGTGGCCTAGATCTGCGCCGGTTCCAGCCATTGGGGAGCTTCCTCGAATCCTCTGTGTTGTAACTCATTGCCGTCCTCTATCGTGCTGGCCACTGGCCCAGCAGCACCAGACGGCTGGGGAGTTGTCTTCGTTTTCCTAGTGTTACTTGCGTGATACCGACACTCAATCCCTCGAGCAATACATATGTACATTTGACGCTTGGTCGCCGGTACACCTGGCCTTCTTCAACACGCTGTTGCCGTGATGGCTTATCAATACGGAATTCTAGCATCAAGCAAGGCCAGAAAGCAGATTAAGTTGCAGTTATTTCTTCTACATACTCAGAAGAGTCTCAGTCAACCAACGCTGTAGTCGACTTGAGAGACATCCGTCCTCATTCTATTCCAACTCGCCTCCCCAGATACTCATGGACACGCATAACGTTCCATGATAATGCTCGTTTTCAACGCATCTTCTGGTAGAAACCAACCTTTGTCCTGCAATTCCTTCAAGAGAGTTTCCCTTGCTGCTTCTGCTTCATCACGACGTCCCGCTTTAAACGATGCCTCCACAAAGTACTGCCACCCCGATCCGTCCGCACTTCGGATGGGCCAAACCTCAATATACAATTTATGATCCCCCCACGAGCCAATTGCCCGCGTGGCGTGGACAGGTCCAAAAATCACTGCCTCCTTCAACGCCTTGGTACCCCAGTTCTTTCCCTTAAAGTTGTCGAATTTGCCCGGAGCCTTGTCTACAAGCATGTCCCGCGAGGCCGCGGTTCCAGGGAGGTCTGTCCCGCCGTCTCCAGAGTATCTGACCTTTTTTCCACGGCTGACGGAGAGTGTCTGCTTCTTGTAGCCCCACTCGACTTGGGCCTCGTACTTGTCAGATTTGGAGGTGAAGCCGTCTTGATTAGCTTTTGCGAGCGCAGCTTCAATGTTGCCGCCCGCGATGTCGTATCGCTTCTTGTACGTCAGCTCAATCTCGGGCTTCGGTTGGACCACACGCAGTCGAACGTTCCAGCCAGCTTTGAATATTTCGTTGGAGCACTTGTCGAGAAACTGGACATTCATTTTGACTGTGTCTTTGACTGAAAAATTGTCCCGAACCAGATCCATCAACTGGTGGTTAGAGTGGAGGACCTTGTCTGGGTCGAGTTGAAGCCTGACTTCAAAGTCGGGCGTCATATTGGCAGCGGGCGCCTCGGTAACAACGGTTGATAACATTGTAAAGAATAGTATACACGAATACGATGTAATACACTTGGTAGTTGTTGTAAAGTCACACTCGGTAGTGATCTTTGCGGAGCGTGATGCTGAAAATTCCTCTGCCGATGTAGGTTTGCCTAGTCCTACGGCTTATTTCGATACTAATAGTGCAGCAAAGAAGCAGGGTAAAAGGGCAATGGCATGGAATTGGGGGAGAATTTTATGCCCAATACATTTCATGACGTGTACGCTCGGAGTTGGTTGCTGACAGTGGGCCAGACGGAAGGTGCTGACCACGAATGACCGTGAGGCGTTGTGCTTTCGGATGGAAAAACCATGCTGTAATTTAAAAAGCAACAAAAGTATGCAGTAATTGTGTTTAGGTTGTTCGGCGCCGCCAACGTGGCGTTCAATGTTTCAGCGCTGGCAGGTTAACCTTCAGCCGAGTTTGCCATGCCATGCATCCGACTTCCAATATACTATAGAGTTTCTTGTCTCAAAGTATCTTTCTGCAGCCTTCCAATAGTGGCTTTTGAGTTCTGAGATTGATATCATAGCTCATCAAGCCAAAAGGATCTAGGCCGCAGACCACTCCTGAGTCCTTTGGCTTATAAAACCCAACACAAGCCGTCATATCTGATCAGGAAAAGGTGCTGCATCTACACTTGCACTGGTTTGCGATATATTTTCAACATGAAGCTTTCTCTTCACTACTTCTTCCTGCCGCTGCTATGTCTGCCAGGAGCCTTGGCCTGGGGAGGTAAGTCGGGCCCCCAAAACGCGCCTCGCAACCAAAGTCATGCCTAGGCTCATCGTCACCTAGCTCTGGGTCACGACACCACGGCACATCTCGCCAGCCACTTTGTTTCCTCGCCAACCAGGGACTATCTCAAACGTCTTCTACGCGACCAAGGCGACGACTACCTCGCCAAAGTAGCCACGTGGGCGGATCAGATCAGGGGCCTGCAGGTATGGAAATATACCAGCAACTTCCACTTCATCGATGCCCACGACGACCCTGCCCGCGGCTCGTGCCAGGTCGACTATGCGCGGGACTGCAAGGAGGGAGGGTGTATTATCAGCGCGTTGGCCAACTACACTGATCGGGCGCGTGACAGAGCCCTGCCTCGGGTAGAGCGCGAGAGGGCGTTTAAATTCCTGGTCCACTTCATCGGGGACTTGCACCAGCCGTTGCACAACGAAGATGTCGCAAGAGGTGGAACGCGAATCAAGGTCCGGTGGCAGAAGCGCCAATATACCTTGCATGCGGTTTGGGATACCCGTATCCTCGAGCAAATCACACAACATTCGGGCAAAGATCCAATGTCGACTGCCATCCGGTGGGCAGATGAACTAGCCAGGGAGATTAGCAGTGGCAAATATGCGGCCGACAAGGAAGGGTGGTTGGAGAATTTCGACCCTAGGAGTCCGAATGTGACTGCCATGGCGTGGTCGAATGAAGCCAACCATTATGTGTGCACACATGGTGAGAACAGCCCCTTTGGAACCTCCTTTAAAGGTGTTTTCTAACATGTTTTGCGGTACAGTCTTTCCGCCTGGACTAGGCCCCAAGCAAATTACGCAAAAGAATCTCTTCAGTAATGGATACTACCAACGAGCCGCTCCGGTTGTCGAGCAGCAAATTGCTCGTGCGGGTTTCCGGATGGCTGCGTGGCTAGATGATGTTGTCAAGTCAATCCAGGCCGAGGAGGACAGCAATGAGACAGTTGATGACATGGATGAGTTGTGAAGTCGCAGTTGGTTGTGGAGGGGAGGCTTTCGTTTGTTAGCTGTTGGCTGCTTAGTTTATCAGGCTTGCTCCTGGATTGGAGGCAACGCAATCACAGAAAGTTTGAGTTCCAAGTCGATGACTAACTTCATCATGGTCGATACATTCGTTACAAGTAGTTGGTAAAACAGAGCAACACAGTATTTTGCACAGCCCGCTGACAAAAGGGGTCTTGGTTGTGGATAACCGCAATCAACAGGCTCCTGCAATTTTTAGTCTAAAAACGTGGCATTTAATGCGCTTATTTGTTTCCGAAGCAAGACTGACTCGATGTTTTCCAAAGTATTCGCCTGTTAAAACTTTTCCTGCTATTATAAGTAATGCGGTGGTTGCTGGATTCTCCCACCGACTTGGTCGATTTGTAGAAAGGGCATTGCGACGCGGGGCACAAAGATCACCCCTCGAATTGGAACAGAAAGAAGTGACCATGTTAAGCCCCAATATGTCTTTATTCAGACAAATTAGGCACTGGGCGGTTACGTCACATGCCCGGATTCAGATAGCTAGGGCGTCTTCTCCGCTGTGGCTGCATCACGCAAGTTCCAGCAGGACCGTCAGCGAAACCATGCTGCCACCGAACCTTATTCTAACCGGCGACTTCCAAAATGAACAAAACCTTCGGCAGTGACAGAGACATATGAGTATCGTAGTGGCGAGACCGTTCTCATGTGTACTTTCTGCCCCATCTCTACGCCTCTCGTGGCTGTCAAGTTCTGGGCATAAACCTTGCACTAGACTTCCGCCATGATTATATATAAGAGAAAACGGCAAGTAGTTCCTTCCTGAAGCCTTCTTTCAGCTGCGGCTGAGACCTATAGCTAGTGCGAGACGCAGTTAGCCCCGGTAGGAAGAGTCCATGCCTGTCCTTGTATCAATCACAACCGTTGCATAGAATGGTGGGCATTCCATCTGCCGCCCGACTCACCTGATACATGGACGAGTTGGAAGGATGCTGGTAGCGCTGCCAGTACGGCCCTAGCTACTCCAGCCTTCTGACAACCAGACTCTGAGTCTTTGACCATTGCTGCCAAGTTGGCAACCTGCGACCGTCTGGTTACCAACGTGTCAAGTGGTCAGTCAATCACGGATATACGTTTATCCGCTCTCCGCCTATCTTTCCGGAAATAACAGCACCAGACATCTTTCACCACTTCTCTCCAGGCCCCATGGCGATTAGCACCCTCATGCAGCTTTCGGAACACCAAGAAAAATGCTTCCTCACCTCAGGGCACGCTCTCGCCTCCTCCATACACTACCATTGCAGTATAATCGAGCTTTGCAATTTCGAAGAGCATTCCATGATGCGAGGGCGGAATTCATCACGTTTGATGCCCAGGAGGGGTCTCTCAAAACACAAAAACTTGACATTATCGGCGAACCCCATGAGGCCTAGCTTAAGGCCTTGGGCTTCCAGGCTCGCTTGATCACCGCTGTTTGATATAAATAAGGGTCACTCGCCCTCGAGGCCTTGAGAAAATGGAGACCCAGACCTTGAAACTTGGCGAATCTCTTCTGCACTGACTTTGTTCTTAATTTGGTAACCTCCTGTTCCCACTCTTGGGGAGCATCCGCATGGACCACTGCTGGCATGGGCGGCAAGGAAATATTTACAAAATGAGCACCCAAAAAACAACCTTTATTATCTCAACCAAGCCCAACAACAGAAGGATCGGATGGCAACGACGCCAGGCCACCCGAGTCCCAATCCGAACCGCTTAATACGCAATACCAAAGGAAAAGGTCCTCTGAGCACTCGTCAAAGTAATCATTCCGTTTGAAATGATCCTCACTGTTAACGTCTACGCCCATAGACGGGCGTGTGACCACGGCAAAGACAACAAAGAAAAGGAACGTATGTGCCTGGCAATGTGGTCGAAGAGAGCACTAGAATCCAAAGGTTCATTCACATTGCAAAGAGGGCACTGACTGATACCTGTAGGTCCTGACCTAGCAGCATCTTTGGCCAGGTCGTGGTACATGTATTCACTGATTGTCTTCCAGTGGGCTCCCCTCAGGTGACTGAGATAGTGTTCCTTAGATGGAAATTCGCGTGGCGGTTTGTTTGGGAGACTGCAAGCCTGACACCGCCAATACTGCGGAGAATGCCCGAGAATATGCTTCATCCACTTGGCTCGGGTGACGAATAACGCATCTTCTTGTTCGCATCCTTCGACGACACAAGTATAAGGGGATATGTCTTCCATCAAGTGTTTCCTGTCTCTTTGTTAGTGCCGACTCGCAAAGATCAAGTGGCCGCAGAGCGAGGCTCAAGCTGGCAAGGGATCTGCTTGCTTCCAATGAGTTTTCATTTGAAACATTGCTGGAAGCATTTGGCAACAATATGGGCAACGAAAGCACGTCTCTCCTATCCGTAGACTTGGAGGACGAGGATAGCGCATGTTGGCTGTGGGAAATGGTCTCGTGGACTTGCGGCCGGTGTTCTGAGGATCACTCTCGAAATTTCCAGCATCCCGTTGCGCAAACAAGAACCTATGGCGCCGTCTGAGATTAGCCATGATCAGTCGATCTTGCAAAGGCGTCAGCGACTTGCGGCCAACATCGCAACGCTGTCGGCCCTTTTCGAAGCCTTGCGCAAGAACGATGCCGGCAAGGTAGTCGCGCAACTCCTCATGCTCTGTCGGTTGGAAAGTTGTGTCTGCCTTCTGTAACCTAGGATTTGGCTTAGACTTTTTCATAGCCACGGTAAGCTCCCTTAGTTGGCGAAGGAGCTCGTATACCTCGCTCTTTGCTGATCCCAGAGGGGACATGTCCTTGTCGAAAGCCGAGGTTGAGTCGTCTTCATCGCCTGACTCTGATGATGGCGGATCCGAGTCGTCTTCATCGCATGACTTTGATGGTGACACATCCGAGTCATCTGACCACGAAGAAAATAGGCTTGCTGTCGGGCTTGTCATATCCGCATCATCAGTTGGTGGGAGATCTTGTTGGTCTTCGCTACCCGTAATATCGGCCCCATCATAGTTGACTTCTTTTTCGTCTGCGAGAAAATGTATATCAGCATTACGTTTTAGTCGAAGACGGAAATTTCGACGGAAAGCAAAGGAAAGGAAAGAGACGAATTGAAAGTCGAAAATAAACACCAAATATGTAGACTAACCACTCTTTTGGCACTCTTGAATACAATTTCGCAGAGTCATGAGGAGGTCGACAATAGTATTCTTGGTATCCGGCTCAAACGCTAGCTCTGAGTCGAGTGAAACTCTTTTGGCGTCAAAAACGCCCGCGGTAGAAGTCCAATTTTGGAACTCTGTTAGTCTTGCTTCCGCCCAATAGTCTTCATTTAGTGGCAGGATATTCAGGCACGTTTTTAAAGACGCCCTACATTGCTTTGCGACGTCGGCAATGGACTCGCCCATATTTGCAGCATCGGCCTCCATTGTCGACGGTTTCTCGGTGATGCGTTTGTGTGGCCTGGAAAGAACTTGGAAGGGGCGGCACCAGTGGCGTGCGAGGCCAGGAATGGCGTGATATTTATACCAGGACCTCGGAGAGCGTAGGTCATGGCATGTTGGCTCATATTCCTATTTTCGAGCTGTGTGCAGCAGACGAGAAGCCGTAGTGTCTGCCAGCTTGGATGGACACAAAGGAATCAGCAAGTGTCCATGGCTGCTTGTCTCAGCAAGCGACCAAGAACAAAGAGGTAAGACCACGCACTGCTGGAGGTGTCTACCACCAACATATGACGTAGGTGTGTATATTCTTTCAAACTTCCAAGGAACACCTGGAGGACGCCTCGGGGACTTACAAAACGACGGCTGTATACGACGGACCAAATTCCGACCGTGTCAACTGCCCGTGCGGCCGAGGAGAGAACAAAGCATGGAGAAACCCAGATGCGTTCCATAAGCTGTGCATCCCGACACCTATTTATGCATTGTGAAGATGGCTTTCAAATGCACAATAACTACGCCTGCATCAAGGGTCCGGGAAGCGTTCGTCTACCCATGTAGCTGTTGGGATGACTTCAACTCGCGACACCATCCTTGTCGACAAATGCCAAACAATCCGTCTTTCAAGCCACAGAGGATCCAGCACACGCAAATCCGAATCCTCACTTTGTGCTAAAGGATGGCTCCAGCGCTTTTGTCTCATACCACGCCCTGGGACTGGACGCTGCAGAGTATCCGTCACATGATCGCGCAGCCTTATAGACGACCAAGAGTTGCATTCGGGTTCGTCTCATTGCATTCGATCTTTGTCTTCTTTATCCCTCACACGATTGGAAAGTCTGAAACTAAAAAGCACCCATGACCAAGTGCTCTTATACTTGCGGGGGAGACGCCGTGCCGCTGGAGCCATACGGAGATATATCCGGGCTGGGGGTACGCAGTCACAGCCGTGTAGCACGAACCATCTAACCCTGGGCTTAGGTTCTCCTCGGCTTCACGATTATGGCATGGGTGAGTGTCGTGCTTCTGCTGCTCTACTACGTTCTCGCATTTGACCCCGGGGTGAGCCCATTCGCAAACAAGCAAGGTTCCTACCCAAGCCCGTCGTCATCAACGAACCTAGTCGATGCAATTGTCTTTCAAGTGTTTCGAATTCTGCGATCTCGTTTGAGTCTGAAGCCCGAGAGCCACTTGCAGCTCGAGGGAGCATTCAACAGGGTAAATCACCGTCGTCATCGAAGCAGAGCTGTCCCTGTGCTAATTACAGCCCAGTGTATCCTCATGTTGGCGGACACACAACTAATCACCGGTATTGCCATCATGGTCAGCGGATATTATTCCCTAACGTGCGGACTGTCCGCTTACCACTGGCAAACCGTCCTTTATCTTGCGTGGTTTTCATGTCTTACCCATCTTTCCGCCCTGACCTGTCTTCGTACCCATCTGCATGTACACCCGACGGCGCGAACCGGCCGGCTATTACTCATGACTGCTCTGCTCGCCCTCCTCTTCGTGGGGTTTGTTCCCACGGGTCACTTCGACTTTAGAGACCATCAGGTGCCGGAGAAAATTTCCGACTCTGCCCCTGCCGTGTGCTATTTCAAGGGCGGCATGGATCGGGACGGTACACCGTTCGCGTCCATGGTCCTTACCCTCCTCCTCTTAGCATATGGCTATCTTGTCCGAGTTGCTAAGCTTTTCGAATCCTCATCTACTGTGCTCTCTCGCTTCTCTCGGGGGCTTCTGGATCGAAACCATGATAAATTTCTCAATGCTTGGGCCCGAGGGCTGCCAAATATGCGGCCCAGTGTTGCATTGTGTGTAGCAGGAGTTTTCATTCCCCCCCCAAACAAGCCTGTATTTCGCGCTGCGGATACTATTGGATCTCTATGCATCCATGCTCTCTGAGGCACGTCGTCCTTTCTTTTATGAGCCTCCACGTTTCCTAACCAAGTTAGGTTTCATCGCTTGTGCTTTCTGCTAGCTGGGCATCGACACGTTTGGCAAATTTACGGCGCTCGGGAGATGTAGGCGATAACGACTGGACATTTGGCCAAGTCATCTCTTTGGTTCTCCTGGCTGGTCCGGCTCTCTCCATCGCCCAGCTAGTATATAGCTGCTGCCTCTCTCCGGGTATGCGTAGTCTCTGTTTTCCGCCCATACACGGGCTTCTGACTGATGCTTCGATAGGACAATATAGGACTCAGGAGTACGGCAATACAGGCGCCGACACATGTATCCAAGGTGGTGAGTTCTTAAACAGTTGCTTTGGTCACAGGCTAAATCTAACACCTTGCCAGACATGGTGCAAGGCCCCGAGCTTGCGCCATGTCAGCCGCCACCTAGCGAATGTGCTCTCGCAGGAGTTGAAATCATTCCACTCGAAGAGTCTCACTCCTCACTTCCCGGGGATCGGAACCGATCCCTTGCGGATCATTCATCAACATCTATATTAGTGAGGGCGGCAACACCGGCTGGCAATGTAGAAGAGACACGTGTTGAACCTTCTGCTTCGCACCATTACCAAATTCTCCAGTCTCCTGGCCATGTTGAACAGTTGCAGCCAAGATCGGACATCGATGCTGAAGTTATTCGCATACTTCAACTTGGGCGGAGTGCTTATCCAGGGCTTTTGGGTTTTGCCGATATTCTCATTCCATCCGCCCCTCTACTCTATTTCTTTGCCTCCATTCTCGCTGGCGTCGATTTTGTCGTGTTGTTGACGCATCAGATTCTCTACTTCTTTATACTCTTACCGGTCTTCTCTCAAGCCTTCATCATTTGCGTCTTCTTTTTAAAACTATGCCGCGTAAGAAGACAGGTCGAAGCTGTCGTTAGGTGTGGGCTCGGCGTCGGTTTAGCTGTGTCCGCCATAAATGCTCTAAGATGGGATCCTCCCTTTTATATTCTGCTAGGCTTGCTACAGTAAGGTGCCAAAAGTCTGCGCCCCCTGGCCCACATCCCACAACACCACAAAAATACTATATTTTTAATCAGTTATTTCTCGTAATATAATAGTCTATAAAATATCATATATAATGCATTTTAAAGCCTAAAAGCTGGTAATTAATATTTTATATACTACCCCCTTACATAAATTATAGTATTAACACAATTCTTTATTAAAAGAAAAAGGGTATTTAGCTACTCTTATTTAATTATATTTTATATAACCTGTATATATTACTAGAATTCCGCTAAATTAGCTATATTATCCTTTAAACTTAGTAATTAAGGAAATAAATACCTAAGCTTACTTTTTAAAAAAGCCTAAGTATACTTAATTAGGTTAAGGTCTAGTAAATTAGCCGGCTATTTAATATATTATATACTA